CCTGGACTGCCTGGCTCGGTGTCTCCTGGGAGACCAACAGTCAGTTAGCTAGCATCCCTGTGCCCCTGGGGACAGCTGTGTGCCCTTGGGGCTCACCTTCTGGCATTCGGTCAATGTCCACATAAAGGCGCAGCATGAGGCCACCCAGCCCATAGGCCATGCCTGGCCCCATCATCGTCACTGCAAACAGGATCCCTGCAACACAAAACCTCGGTTAGGCCATCCTGACCCTGGCTTCCCTGCAGGGCAGTGCCCACTGGGCAAAGCAGCCTGTCTCCCCAGGTTGAGCCTGGGAAATGTCCAGGGCTACTCTGAACTTCCACTGGCCACATGGGACAGAGGCTACCCCTCCGACCCCACTCACTCCAGGCCTCTGGTCCTCCTACCTGAGCCTGGCCCGCCCTCAGAGCCCGAAGGGTGGTACCACTCCTCACCGAGGTAAAGGGGAGAGTTGTTGCCATGGGCAAAGTCATCGATATAGGAGATGCCGAAGGGCTGGATGGGCACGCTGCCCACACCGAGCAGGGTCTGTGCCATGAACATTATTCCCACCGCAGCCAGGTGCTGGGCCTCCGTGTAGCCGGAACAGCTACTGCCATTGGAGGGGGTCGAGGCAGGGGCCGAGGTTGTGGTCAGGCACAGGGAAGCCTCGAAGTCCTGTGGCGTGTCCCCTGAGAGGTGAGAAAAATATTATGAGAATAGCTAAGACTTTTATACAGCACTGTGTCCCCTGAGAGAAAATATTATGAGAATAGCTAAGACTTTTATACAGCACTTCCTGGATGCAAGGTACTGATTTCAGCGCTTGTGTATTTCAATCACAACAAACCCCAGGGATGATTGCTCTCATTACCCTTAGTTCACAGGTGAGGAGACTGATGCTCAGGCAGCAACTAGCAAGGATGGGGTCAGGATCCGAACCCAGGCAGCCCAGCTCTGAGTCCTTGCTCTTAACCCACCCTGTGCTACCTTTCTGAGCAGAGGTATGTGCTCTCGGGTGGGGTGGGGCTGTCAAAGGAGGTCGAGTTTGAACTGGGTTGAGATGAACAAACAAGAGTTCCCAGAAAAAGAACTTGGGGAGGGCTATTCCAGGTCAGTGTACATTGCAAACCCCGGGGCTTCGGAAGTTCAGCACTGTTGACCCCAGAGTGTGAGGGGCAAGGTCGGGGCTGAAGGGAGGGCTGTCAGGGAAGGGATGCGGGGGCTGGATTGTGGAGGGGTCTAGGACCCTTGGCCTTCATTCTGAGGAGGGCTCAGTGTCAGCTCGGGACACAGATGTAAAGTGCAGTTAAAGGGCATTTCTTAATTTAGTACCAGACATTTGTTCCCTGGAACTAACCAATATTTGATGAGCAAACGTAAGACCCTCATGCTATTATTATCCCAAATATGGGTGCAGAAGTGGCCTTCCCTCTGCGGCCTGTCCAGCCCTTTCCAGGAACTGGGGCTGAGGAAAAGCTGCATGAACCAAGGTTAACAATCCAGACCTTCCATTTGTGGTGGGCAGACAGACAGACATGAGCAGAGTGAGGACAGTGAGCCAGCTACCGAAGGTCACCAGACAGAAAGCCCAGGGCCTAGCAAAGGACAACTGCAGGGTGGGACCTCGCTCCCAGGGTGACCTTTCCTCCCCTAGCATATCACTGGTCATGAGGTTTGGACCCCCTCACCTTTCCTCCCTAGAGTTAACATCTCGGCCTCAGTTGTATTTCAGCTCCGGACCCAGAAAAGAAACAAAACCAGACCAGCGACTCCATGGCTGCCCTCAGGAACAGCTGCATTGGATAATGACCCCCTGCCTTGGTGCTGACCAATCAATCAGTGGAGATGGGACCCTGAAAGGACACACCTGGAAAGCTGCTGATGTTCTATTAAGATCTTACCCTGGGAATTAGTGTCCTGATAAGAGAAGATTAGGACACAGACACCCAGGCAGGGTCAGCCACCGGAGGACACAGGGAGGAGCCAAGGAGAGGCCTCAGGAGAAACCAGCCCTGCTGACACCTTTCTCCTTGACTTCCAGACTCCGTATATGGGAGAGAACCTCTGTTTGAGCCGCCCAGCTGGGGTAGTTTGTCAGGGCAGCCTCAGTGAGGTAACCCACGCCCCAAACTCCTGAAACTAATACTCTGCTCTCCAGTGGGGCTTTGCTGGCTCTAGCCTGTCTTGACCAACCTACTGCTGACCAACCACCTACTGCTTCCCATTTTCCTGACCTGACTGTGCCCCCTTCAAGAGCAAGGGCAAGCCTCAATTTTAAGTCATCAAACACTTTTTTGGAAAGGGCCTGATAGAAAAGACTGTATGGCAGTGGTTGAGCATCAACCTATCAACCAGGAGGTCCTGGTTTGATTCCCAGTCAGGCAAATGCCCGGGTTGCAGGCTCGATCCCCATTGTGGGGCCATGCAGGAGACAGCCGATCCATGATTCTCTCTCATCATTGATATTTCTATCTCTCCCTTCCTCTCTGAAATCAATAAAATATCTATATATATAAAAGCCTAAGCGACTGTTCAACCATTTGACCTTTCGATCGGTAACTAGGACACAAACTGACCACCAGGGGGCAGACGCTCAATGCACAGGCATGGAGGCATGGAACAGACTGATGAATCTCAGAGGGAAGGGGGG